TTGTTACTGTTATTGTTGTTACTGTTATTGTTGTTACTGTTATTGTTGTTACTGTTATTGTTGTCACTGTTATTGTTACTGTTATTGTTGTTATTGTTATTGTTGTTACTGTTATATTTGTTACTGTTATAGTTGTCACTGTTATTGTTGTTACTGTTATAGTTGTTACTGTTATTGTTACTGTTATTGTTGTTATTGTTATTGTTGTTACTTTTATTGTTGTCACCGTTATTGTTACTGTTATTGTTGTTATTGTTATTGTTGTTATTGTTATTGTTGTTACTGTTATAGTTGTTACTGTTATTGTTGTTACTGTTATTATTGTTACTTTTATTGTTGTCACTGTTATTGTTACTGTTATTGTTGTTATTGTTATAGTTGTTACTGTTATATTTGTTACTGTTATAGTTGTCACTGTTATTGTTGTTACTGTTATAGTTGTTACAGTTATTGTTATTACTGTTATAGTTGTTACTTTTATAGTTGTTACTGTTATTGTTGTCACTGTTATTGTTACTGTTATTGTTGTTATTGTTATTGTTGTTACTGTTATAGTTGTTACTGTTATTGTTGTCACCGTTATTGTTACTGTTATAGTTGTTACTGTTATTGTTACTGTTATTGTTGTTACTGGTATTGTTGTCACTGTTATTGTTACTGTTATTTTTGTTATTGTTATAGTTGTTACTGTTATATTTGTTACTGTTATTGTTGTTACTGTTATTGTTGTCACTGTTATTGTTACCGTTATTGTTGTTATTTTTGTTATTGTTATAGTTGTTACTGTTATATTTGTTACTGTTATTGTTATTACTGTTATAGTTGTTACTGTTATTGTTGTTACTGTTATTGTTGTTACTGTTATAGTTGTTACTGTTATTGTTGTCACCGTTATTGTTACTGTTATAGTTGTTACTGTTATTGTTACTGTTATTGTTGTTACTGTTATTGTTGTCACTGTTATTGTTGTTATTGTTATTGTTGTTACTGTTGTTGTTGTTACCGTTATAGTTGTTATTGTTGTCACTGTTATTGTTGTCACTGTTATTGTTGTTACTGTTATTGTTGTTATTGTTATAGTTGTCACTGTTATAGTTGTTACTGCTATTGTTGTTACTGTTATTGTTGTTACTCTTATTGTTGTTACTCTTATTGTTGTTACTGTTGTTGTTGTTACTGTTATTGTTGTTACTGTTATCGTTGCTACTTTGTAAATGATGTTGTTGTGATTATTACAGAACTATTGGCTTGGTCTTCATCTTCTCCCTTTATCTACGTAATATTGTTGTTCCGACGCCATCATGGAGCCGACGCAAGGGGTGTCATGTGATAAAGTTTCCATATTTCAAACTACTTCCGGTAAGTAGTGCACTCACCTGAATCAATTATGTGATATTACCTTCGTCTAACGTGTACGGGCGTAGTCCTTGGTGTTAAACTTTACTTACTCTAAACTTCTTTTCTGAAACCAAAGGTTGGGGCATTGTCCAAAAAGAACAATTTTCAAAAAGTCTTCTCTTCAAGATCGCGAGTTAGCTAAAATATTCCATCAGTAGGACAGGGACATGAAAAACAGTGCCGCGACATTGGACAATAAGCAAAAGATTAAATAGGGTTTACAGGGTTCATCAAAGCTCCCAAAGACAGATGTAATGTTCGGATAACGCCCAAAATAGGTGTCTAATGGATTTGCTTAGGAAAGTAGTTTTTGGATGAACGTTCGGGGATATATAGGGGAAATTATGACATTTCCAAGACCTAGTAATTACAGAGCTTTTCCTTTTTATTTGTGAGCATGTACGACTTCCTCCTTATTCCATCCCTCTGACTCTAAGTTAAAACCATACAAATATATAGGGAATGGGGTCCTTGTTGACTGTATCTCGTGGGAAAAGGGAGGTATATCATAAAAGGGAGGTTTATCATAAAAGGGAGGTGTATCATAACAGGGGGGTATATCATAAAAGGGGGGTAAATCATAAAAGGGAGGTATATCATAAAAGGGAGGTAAATCATAAAAGGGAGGTAAATCATCAAAGGGAGGTATATCATAAAAGGGAGGTTTATCATAAAAGGGAGGTATATCATAAAAGGGAGGTATGTATATCATAAAAGGGAGGTATATCATAAAAGGGAGATAGGTATGTCATAAAAGGGAGGTATATCATAAAAGGAAACAAAAACATAACTCTTATCTGAGCGACATTAAGTACATAGAAAGACTAAAGCTTGGAAGATTCTTTCAATATAGCTTTGCACTAAAGTTCCTAGTTATAAGGATACTTTTTAAAGATTATATTGTATGATATTGGGCTGGGTAACGTTTGTATAAAAGGGACCTTATATGAGGATAGTTTGTTCATTGACTCATATCAAGTTCTTTTGACCACAAATGTGTATCTTCATATCATAATTGATATTTTCTCCTTTCAGGTGTTGCTAGCCGTAGGTCTGTCCTGGAGTTTATGTGGAATTTTAACGGAAACGGAAGTATTCTCCTCAAACAGTTCACTTCCGGAATACTGGGCAAGGACTGACGCTAGAACTCACGTTCTGTATTCTACAGAGTGGCTGTTTTTTCCATATCCATGTAAATACTCGCTATTTATTTAATTTTATTTTGCACTATGTGCTACTGTAACATATTTATGGTTCAATGATTAAAATGTTGTACTTTGTCAGAATAGGATAGCCACAGCAGAAGACGTCCTGGTGAGTATCGGTTATTGTAGAAGTCACTACTGATAGATAATGTATGTCAGTTGTTAGTCACTAACTATCGAAATATCTATTTGATATCATGTCAATGATCGTTATGACAAAATATATTAAACAAATTTCCGTCATTGTGATATACAGAAAAACACTACATACACAAGGACAAAATCTGGACGCAAGGTCGAAACGAGCATGAACTGATGTAACACAAGAAAGGGGGAAGACCGTCGCTTTAAAACGTCATGCTAAATATTACGTCATATTTTGTTAGCTGTACTATGTTATGTGGTATTAAGTCAACTGTAATATGTCATTGTACAGGACAGTTTTGCTTTGTTTTCAGTTTTAAATGTCTGTAGAATCGTAGTAATCAACTCTATTTCGCCGCAATGACAAACATACGCTCTGACTTGTATATTATAGGTCAGTGGGGATTGCCGACGGTCAGTATCGCTAGCTTCATGGCCATGTTGGCAGCTACTGTAACGTCGATTATTGAATCGGTTGGAGACTACTATGCATGTGCCAGAGTGTCCGGGGCTGCTCCCCCTCCAGCGCACGCAGTTAACCGCGGCATTGCCATTGAAGGGTTCGGGAGCATTCTGTCAGGGTTAGTTGGATCTGGTGGGGCCACGACATCCTACAGTCAGAACATCGGTGCAATTGGCTTCACAAAGGTACGTACTACTGACAATAGTTGCATCACTGTGTTGATGGTCCGCAACAATAAAGCATATTATGTTCATTATAGTCATAGCCTAAATGATAACTTAATAAGAGCGTAGCTCTTGGGCGCCGACGGCGCCCGAGCGAAGCTCTTTAATGGTAACACATGCGTGCGTAAACAGAGTTGCTTCCCCTTTCTACACCTTGCCCTTGATTTGTTTCGTCCGGAAGTAGCCCTCCAGTGGGGAAACCGGATATGTATCCTTGAAGCAAAGACAATATCGAGTATCACCCTATACATGAACATCTTCATATAGTGAAAACAATACCCATTTTTAGTACTTGTTTATTTAGATAAAAACTAATATACAATCTGTGTGAAAAAAAATCTATCACATAAATTTTGATACTGGCATGAAACGTCGTTCAGAGATTATCATACGATGACGTCACAATCACGCCACACTCCATCGGCCTTCATCGGTTATTTCTGGAAGGATGAAAAATAACCGGGAAATCTTGGAACTGATGGCCGTTGCATTTATCTCTTTGTCGTTGCTTCATGACTTTTTAATTTCAGTTTTTGACACAGGCACAAAAAGTAAAAACGCGGATGTTTTCTGAAGATCCTTTTTGTTATCAACCAGGTTCTGTTAATATTTCTACCGGGAGATATTTTCAAAAAGAGCCGCATGAAACCAATAGGTAAACGTGTACATTTATTTTCATCGTCTAAAATTTCATCAGCTTTTGATTTCCATTTATTGAGGATATGAACGAAATAATTAACATTTTTGAAAGTCCGGTTATAGTCTTTACATTATTTATGTATGCATCACCACTCATAAAAGAAACAATAGATAATTAATTTATGTCGAAATCAACAATCAACGCCCTTTTTCAGCAACGTATAACTTATAACTATAGTTACAGACAGAAACTGTTTAATTGTATTTGGCATCATTCGTGTTAAACCTCCGTGACAGTTACAAACATTTAAATTCAATCCGGTGTTTCAGGATGGAACAGGAATTCTAAACATCGATATAACGTCATTCTCAATTCTTCATCAAATTATTGCAATGTTTTCCGTTTTTTAATTTCATTTTTTTAACTAACAAATCTATACATTTACTTTTATAGACATATGGTCAAATATGTAATATGCACTTTTTTCTATTGCAATTACCAAACAGTTTTTTCCCACCTTATTTGAATCATTCTTTTTGTGACCTCACGGAAGCACGCAGAGGATTTATTTCTTAATGTGGGAGGAAGCCGGAGTATCCGGAGAAAACCCGCGTGGTCGGGCAGGTAACCGGGATTGAATCCGGACATCTTGGTGAAGACGAGCGCGCTATCCACTGCGCCACCCGACGCATCATATACGTTACGCACAACTATCTGCTTTAGCTTTGAAAATGGCGTCATTGATGCAAAAATTTAATTGTGTATACATTTTTACCAATCATCAACGATGCAAACAATCTACATATGGGAGACCGGGGAAAGTAGGGCCACCCCTGGTATTTTTGTTTTTGAGCTAATATTTACAACTTTAAAGATATTTAGTTGGCTAGGCATTCACATGAAAAAATGGCAAGGAAAACTCTAATGTAAAATTACTAAACAAATTACTTTTGAGAAAGAAAATCATGATCTCGCTTCTAGTGATGCGAACTTTCGCTAAAAAAATACGGCCAAACGTGTAACACACTGACAGCTTCAAATGATATACATGGACATAAAAAATATCAATTTGGGACCGGACAGTTTCAGCCAATGATACCGTGCGGCAAGTTCGGCCCATGTAACACATAAAAAGTCGAAAAGTTGACGGTAAAATCTGACGTTGCATGCTTTACTGATAACGTCATAATTAAGCTGATTCCATAGGGCCGAACTTACACGAATGCCGACAGGTAAAAATTAAATAATGTTCAAAAACGGTCGTGCTGCCATACTTCCTAGAACGGGCTTTAATAAGAATGGGCCGAATTTGCCCCGAACTCCCCTATTGTGTCGGTCTTAATCTCATTAGAGTTTATGTTTTATTGTTATCACTCGACTAGCCGAATTTAAATAAATTTTATCTTGCCTCATTCTAAAAGCTGTATTATCTCATTCTAAATCAGTAAATATCAGAGATCAACAAAAGCTTCGCTCTTTTAAGGCTTTGCCTTTTCATATTACTGTCGACGTTTATCTATAAGCGGTTAACTTCCATTGTCGACAAAAATATAACCGGTTTACCATTGATAGCTTTTTCTAAAATAGATTGTTCACGACGCACTTTAAGTACCGATAAGATCAATAAAGGCGTGCTATATTGTATAAGAGTACATATGGTATCTGGGGTTTCCCTCAGATGACGGTGACATTTTGACCCTAGGTGTTGTTACATGTACCGTTAAACAAATATAATGCCTATCACGCGCAACTTAAAAAAGGAGATTTTTGAATTGTTAAAACACATTGATAATTACCGTTTACTTGTCCTCTGATGTTTTACTAATTGAACACAGACTTTGAGGTTTTAAGTAAGATGGTGGCTAACATGAACCATACGTGTATCCTTGTTTGCATACATTCCTATTTGGTGTATTACACTGTATCCCGTTGTTATGTCACCCGTTGTCATTTCAAACTGTTTGATATTTGCATGTTGCATTTTCTCCCTTCGATAGGAGGTTATAAAATGAAACGTTAAAGGCTATTGTGAAAGTTGACATTTGAAATGTCTCAGGCATGGTATATCCAACGTAGATTATGATGAAATGTTATTAAAAATGACGACAACAGTGTGTGTTGAGGTAATGAAAACATGCGTATTTGGAAACAACTTATTCGTTTTAATTTTAACGAATATAATATATTTTTGCAAAGTAATTGTTTTGACTCGCTGCTATCAAACAGGTAAACCTATAATGCTTTATATATCTCACACAGGTAGCCAGTCGCGGAGTGTTTGTGGCAGCGGGAATCATTTTTCTACTCAGTGGGGTGTTCGGTAAATTTGGCGCGATCCTTGTTATGCTTCCGGATCCAGTTTTGGGTGGTATAGTCGTCATCAGTTTTGGAATGGTGACGTCAGTGGGACTGTCTAACTTACAGTTCGTGGACTTATCGTCCGGCCGTAATCTGTGTATCATTGGTTCCTCACTCATAATCGGACTGATGGTGCCTAAGTACCTGAATGACAACCCTGGAGTTATTAACACAGGTACGGTAGTTTGTACGTGGGTGTTCTTGATAGAAACACCTGCAGTTAATTTTTGTTTGTATTTTATTTAACGTTCTATAAACAGTTAAGGTCTTTTAAGGACGCCATTCATGTGTTTGGTGTGCGCGTGAATGTGTGCATTAGTGCTAGAGGCAGGATGTGTTGGTGTATTCCTCCTTGTGATCTGATGCCGACTTTATAGAGCTATCTCACTGAAATACCATGATGAGGGCAAAAAGCACAATACTCCACCTGATCACATTATACTGACAACGCTTACGGATAAACCAGACCAGTCATTACCCTAATAGCTGAACGTAAAGCAGGGCATAACAACTATCATATCATATATACTTCCGTTAATCCCGGCTAAAGACAGAATCCATTGCACACGTAGGCCAATGCCCCCTTAGCAGAGAACACAGAAGAACCCCCTAACCCCCCCCCCCCCCCCTTTCTGGGTCTTCCTATCTCTTACGACATTTAGTGGGATACAGCAGGCGTGTTGTTTTCCCGAACCCCGTAAGGGAGACAAAATTGTGTGGCAAGACATCGCAAGAGATATGCCATGGAACGGATATGAATGATGTTGTGAACCGACCGATAATTCAAGCACTTCATGCAGTATTACAAGAGATGATGGTCAAAACTATGGAACGAAAACAGATAATTTGTTTAGCTGGAGGTAGATTGACGCAGTTGAACTGATTTGGGTACACGATAACTATACTTTGTAAATCACAATGTCTGATGACCAACTGAATACGTACTATATTTTTACTTTTCTAGGGTAATATTCTAATCAGCATTGATATACCCATTAACATATATGCTAATCAAAGATATTTTTCGACAACAGGTATAAACGAGTTGGATCAGGCTCTGGTGGTATTATTGAGCACGGCCATGTTTGTTGGGGGCATGCTGGCGTTTATCCTTGATAACACAGTTTCGGGTAAGTACAAAATGTTTAGACATTCTAGTTTTGGGTGTGTCCAAATGTTTAAATATATATCACAGTTCTGGGTGTGAACAACATTTATAAACAGTACTGGTCCTGAAATGTACAAATGCATCAATTAATATAGTTCCATGTATTTACCAAGTGTATTAACACTTTAGTTCCGAGTTTGTACAAAATATATAAAAAACAATGTTTAAACTATACAGTTCCGGCTTTTACAGTCATTAAAATGACAGTAAGAAAGTTAGTATATGAGATCAGTATTTCAAAATAATCCTTACTTCCTTATTTACTAGGAACAGACGAGGAGAGAGGAATACTGCTTTGGCGATGTCAGATCTCCTCTACATCCGTTGATAGAAAGGATGTCACAGAGGAGTCGACAGTCAACCCACTGGCTCTTTACGATCTTCCATTAATAACACCCCTCCTACACAGAATAAAATGGTGTAGATTTGTGCCATTCATGTCTACGTTTGAATATGACAGTTTGTCAAAAGACACGTGTTGTACGGACAGTGACGGCACCATCGATCAACAACATACATTAAAGTCAAACGAAAACAATAGTAATGACAGCTAAAATCCCATGTTAATCTGCAGCATTTAAAGACGATGAAGCCATTCCGACCTATTGAATTTTGTACATAGGATGTTGAACGGCATAAATTCCATTATCCTGTCAGTAATAGTAACCAGATATTGAGTCACGCCAGGTGCAGGATTACGAGAGTTGTGTTCCTTCCACGTAGCGACGTGTTTCTAGCTGTAAACTTGGTGTATGTAGTAGGCTGTACACACATTGTCATTAGCATGTTGATTTGGGGTGCTTTATTGAACATTTATAACGTAAATCTGATTTATGAGGGTTTTACTCCATCTGATACAGTAGGAACTTTGTTATTTCATGTGGTAAATCAGTCAATGTAAGATTGCTTGTGAGTGTTGGAACATTGTATCATAATGTATCCGTTAACTTACTGTTCCTCCCGTCCTATGTAAATGAAATAACTTTCCCTGTTTCTATAGAACAAAGTTAGTTTCTGTATTTACATGTAACCTTAGGAACGCTGTTTAGGAAAGATTCCGAACATATTGTTCATCTGTAAAATATATATGCACTAGTGAGACTATCATTTGCTCGTGTGGATGGTAAGTGATGTGATGGCAGGGATTGCGGGACGATGACACAGCGGATTGAAGTATGCAGTGAAAATGTGGGTCGTATATCTAACGTACGGTAATACAACTCCAGTATAAATAGATACACAAATGTAGGCCAGAACTCATGTACATACCCAGTACATGTCCTTATCCAGTAACTGGTGACATTTACATTTCAGTTTCTAATATCAAACAAAATTCCACACACAATGTAAAATAACAAATGGAATTGTGGTATCACATCTCATTTCTAGTCGTTTTTTGAGTTAATTAATTCCGTAAAGTCCAGTATGACTTTTCGATATTTTTTTTATTCAGACAGAAATTTTCATATACATAAATATACACAAAAACACACACCTGTACAAAGCATACATACGTACGTACATGCATGCATGCATTCATACACACATACATACATACATACATACATACACACATATGTATACTGAACACAATAACATTTACTCAGGATACATGACATATGAAAATATTGTAAACATACACACATTCCTACAGGAATGCATAAACATAACATATTACATGCAGTTTAAGCAATAATGCAAACCAAAACGGATACTTGAGCATGTGTCACTTTTGATCTCTAAACTGTTTCATTACTGCATTATTACAAGGGGAGTCATCAGAACATATATACATGTGTCAATCGGGGAATGCATACATACATACATACATACATACATACATACATACATACATACATACATACATACACACACACACACACACACACACACACACACACACACACATACATACATACATACATACATTACATACATTACATGCATACATGCATGCACACATACATACATGCATGCACAAACATATATACACATATGCATACATACACCTATGAATACAGACATGCATGCATGCAGATATGCATACATATACACATATACCCATGCCTAATAATGTACAAGTATATCCATCCGTACATACATAAACATAAACATACACAAACAAACAAAGACATAAACATAACCATCTCCAGCACATATACACACATGCAGGCATCCACAACATACACGGATAGACGTCCTTAAATTACCTAAGCTATTAATAGGACGTTAAACAAAATAAAACCAAACCAAACCAGATCATTTTCGGTAGGATTTACATTTTAATTTTACATGTAGATATAATGTTTTCTGTACTCTTTTGAACAATTTATATAGTAGGTAAATATTGGTGACATCTACTGAAGACTTGTGAGTAGAAACAAAAGTTTGATGGGACGTAAAGTGTACAATGGAATTAGAGGCGTCCGTCCAACCTCAATTTGGTTTCTGCAAGATAACTTGCTGAAATATCGTTTGATTTTTTGAAAATCAATATGCTTGTACATTATACTGTAATGAGACTGAGGTTAAGATCGAAGTTGGGCAACATCCACGGATAATGAATAAGCGTACTGTGCTCTGATTGGTTGTGGAGGTTTCTGCACAATAACTTTAGATAAGATAAGATCCGATTACGATGACGCTTGGTCAATATTTATATTATACAAAGACTAAATGTAAAAGTAAGCAAACAATTTGCATAATTTATTAGAATACTGCTACATGTATCAAATTGATGGACGAAAAAGAAATATCTTCTGTTGTAATAATGTAAGACGAATCGATTATTTGCAAAAGGTAATTTCGTATCGGTTGGGCGTTGTGCTAGCCTACACCTTAGTAATGGAGAGGATCGTGTATTTGTAGATACGACTTAAGCTGATCCGTACATGATAAAGCCACAATCGAACATATCATATAATAGGTCCCAGTTCTTGATTTGTTTTCTTACATATCGAAGTACACTTACAAATACAAAATGGCATTTGCGACCACAACTACAGTAAAATGATTAATTAATTATATGAAGTTGAATTGCTGGTAATTTTAAGTCTCCGTCCCTCAAGGAAAGACTCTATTTTAATCGCTAAAGATAACCCATTTCAGTTTTTCATCAACTGCTTTGCCTATTACCAATGTTTTTTACTGATTGTACATAAAGGACATTTTGGAATTAGCATGCAACTTGGCATAGATATTATATGTTCCATACTTATCCTACAGTGCTTTTTTACATAAAACAGTTTTTCTTGTGCTTTGGAATACCAGGACTAATGTGCATCTCCTTGATCAACACCAAGTATTTCCTTACAATACCAGTCTATATGTATGTATGCATGTAGATAAAACGGGCTCACTTAAGTGTTTATAGTGGTCAGAGGTGTATATGACATGCTAGTCTGATCAAAGCCAGACGTTTCATGCCTTGGAAACGCGTTTGTTGACACTTTTGTGATAAAAGCTGGCGTATGCAGCAGCAGTAGCGATTGGTAGGCATTTCACATCATCAATGCAAACATGATTATTGCAGATATTCTTGATATTTGAGGTAGAGAAAGTGGTGTTTACATTCGCAACAATAATGGGCGTGATGTATGATGCGATAATCACAAAAACAGCAGATAAAACCCAAGGAAGAAACAACACCTACACTAATTCATCATAAGCTCCGGACAAACATAGTAAATATGGCTGTAATTAGCGATCCACGTGAAACATCTAGAGCTTAGATATAAAACCAGTTCCATTAAGTATCAGAAATAGTGTAAGTTGGGTAACAATACGGTGTTATATTATTTTTTGTCAGGAATATTATATATTTTTCAATAATAAAAAAAAATGAGTATTTGAATTCAACTGACTGTTAATTTGATATTTTCCAAAAAACATGACAGGAACAAACCTGTTTCCATATTTTACCCATAAAATGTTTTCAAAACATGTGTTGTAAATACGGCGACGGGCTGGAAACGGTTCAGTACAAAAACATATGATTGAATCCATGCATTACGTCCGTCAGCAGAAGGTCAAATATGACCATATGAACACAGCGAATAAAGGCATACTTTATGTCATGTACGTTTCAGTCGTATTGACAGGCATTGTTGAAAAAGAGACGACTCGCATTAGCTATTTGAAAGGGTCTCTATATTAACATTTCATAACATATTTTGCAATTTCTTCGCCATCTTTAGGTGTCAAATAAGGGTTTTGTTTTTGCTGCGGTAAAGTATGATTTATAGAGTAAGCATCCTATTAATGCGACAGGGTATTACTTGCGTGATTGGATTAAGGGCCGCGTGTGTTGGCAAAAACGGTGTCATACAACAGTGCATTTTAAATAATCAAATAAATGTATATTAGGTTGGGATTTGAGTGTTTCTATTTCTCTCTTGTGTGTGTACTGTTTTTACATAGCTTTCCTTCACTACTTTAAAGTGACCACTTCCGTGTTAGCGTAACATGGCTTCTGATTGGACAATAGTTCGCTTTTATAAATTCTCAAAATGAATCGGGGTTCTTATTTTTTGAGGGCCTTTTTCTTTGAACATCAAATGAGAGACGAAACATGAAGCACATCTCCTGCTCCACCGTAACGGCCGACTAATGTGGGGGCCCTTTGCAGACTCGGGGTTGGTGTCTTTCTTGTCTATTTAGGGGACATTGACGAAATCAAGAACAAACCTGCTCTATCCCACCCATGTGTATCGTAAAAGTGATTAATGTTGCCCTGCAGAATCGGGAGGTTTCTTCGGTGGACATAGAGGAAACCAAAATTGATCTGCTTCCCCCATTACAACAAATATTTTTAGATTCCTATATATCCTGTCTTCTTTCGGTTCTATTTACTTTTTCGCCTGGCGGTGTCTCCCTAGGCACCCGTCCTTATACGACCCTGGCTGTTGTCAGGACGTTAAACAACAAAGATGATACCCCATTTTTACACGCATTATCTTCCACTAATATTTTCCATTTTATGGTTTCGTGGTTATTGATCATAACCTGTCTCCTGCATACACACACGCAAGCACGCATACTCTTTAGTTTAAACATATTTCATTGTACAAATTTACAAATGGATCGGACAACAAGTTTTTACAACTAAATATAGAGTCCTCTCCTCGATACATATTATAAAAATAGTGTATATTTTTTTGGGGAAAGGGAAAAAGATAGGTTGGGGAAGGAAATTTGGGGTGGGAGGGGGTGGGGGTGATGGAAGGGAGGGGTGTTACCTAGTAAAGTAAACGTGTAAACTGATAAATCGATCCGCATTTGAATAAACTATAAATTATACAGATTTCATGACAGGCATTCTGGTAGAGTAATTTAAAAATGAACAGAATCAATGTAACAAATAAATCAGGCAGAATAAAGAAATTCAATTTCATAAACACATATAACAACTTACACATAAATAAAAATAGAAAAGTAATTATAACTATCAAAACCTATTGCTGGATTTGATGAAATGATGCACATGTCTAAAGATATTTATGTTGTTTTCTCTACACACATGGAGGCACGTCCTTAAATAACCTTGGCTGTTAATAGGACGTTAAACCAAATCAAACCAAATCGAGATACTTATCCCTTAGTTGAATATAATACGAAACATGGAGCATATCTCAAGTTATAAGTAAAACCCTAATCGACTATACAAGCGTTAGGGCCCTGTCTCTCTTTACTTGTAATTACTTTCACTTTTATGTTCAATTGATGGCCTGGAGGTCCCATTTTCCTAAGCATAATTTAAATCGAAAAACGGTACACATTGAAAGTTTTAGGCAAACACTAAATCGACTCTACAAGCGGTAGACCCACCCTTTCTCTAATATTTCCAACGTATGGCTTGAAAGTCCTTTTCCTTTAGCAAGATATAAGGAGCAACAAAAAAAACGTTTAAAGGAATAGGTAAAGACTGAATCGACTATATTAAGGATAGGGCCAACCCCTCGTAAATTTACTCGTACTATCTTTTTCTATTATTTTTCATTTTATGGCTTGGAGGTAATTTTCCAAAAGCACGACCCAAGGAGAAACACGGGGTTATTGAAGTTATAAGTAAACACTATTTCGAAGGAGAGCGAGTGTTATGTGATATATTTATGTATATAAATATATATGTGATATATGTGTGTGTGTGTATGTTTGTTATATTGCAGCATTTGATGTTGCAATAAAAGTGTCTACGATATTCATACAGAACGTGTCGACTGTAACAAACACTGCCAAACGGATACAATCTTAGATTGTTTGATTTCCTCATAAGAGCCAAGGTCACATGAAGACGGGTGGTTTTTGAGCCCTGATAAAAAGGAAAGAGAAGGGAAGTGAGAAAAGTAGGCAACGATCTTGAGAATAGAGTTTGTGGCAGGTTTTGATATCATTAATCTTTATGAAACTTTATCCTTTTTGTAAATAGTTGTATTTGATTTGATCTATTTTTATTTAACCTCCTATTAACAGTTAAGATCATTTAAGGATGTGTCTCCATG